GCATTGCTGCTTGAGTGGCATGTTTTCTGGCTTGCACGAGCAGGTCTTTATAATACTGCCTGTCTGCAGCCCGTGTGCCGGCTGCCGAACCTGCGGGCGGTGTGCTGGGGCTTCAGGCTGGTCGTGGACGAGGGGGTCCCGGTCGTCGTCGGCCCGGTGGTACTGGTCGCCCTTCAGCAGCAGCAGCTGCTGCCTCAGGCTCATGTGGTCCCTCCGCCATTGGCAGAGGCCTTTCCCGGCGTGGCAGAGGCCTTTCCCGGCGTGGCAGAAGCCCTTCCCGGCGTAGCAGAGGCCCTTCCCGGCGTGGCAGAGCAGCTGCTGCACCAGACTCCAGGGACGTCTTGTCCTCTTCCAGCAACCAGTCCGAAGGCTGGTAGTCTCGTTCCCTCAAACTCCGGCACCTCGAGGAAAATGACCCCGGAGTCCACATCGACCTTGTGGCTGAAAGCCCAACTTCTGGCCCAGCCTCATCAGTTGCTAGCCGCACATTGGCTGGGGCTGTGTTGACCCTGAGGACAATCCGCAAGGTTGTGTGTCATGTCACCCCTGTACATATTTTGCAAGCACTCTTATTTATTTATTTATTTTTGTTTCAGGAAATCTTTTTGTGTGCTTGTGGATCAAGCTTGATCCCTCAGGTCTTGGCCGTTGTGGCTATTGTAAAAGTAGCTAGGCTCGAGCAGAGCCAAAATACGTTGTGCAGGTCAAGCCCAATATTAGCTGTCGTGGCTATCAGTTGTGAATGCAGCTGGCTTCAAGTGGAGCCAGTGTGCAGTGTTGATGCTGATATGTTGTGTTCTAGTAGGAATGTCACAAAGACACGTTGGTTGCGAAGGTAAGAGCGTGGCATTGCTGCATGGCCGCGTGGCTAGCTCTAATGGGGCTGGCCTTTTATTGGGAATGTATGCGACAGCATAGATGGCGTTAGGAACCATACAAAACAAGTCATAACAGGTCCAAGCCACCCAATTTTCTGGTTGCTTGTCCCTGTGTTTCTTTCCAATGGTGAAAAGACTACTATGCTAAGTATCAGATGTGCTTGTGGTTATGCAAATTTAGGGGGTATGCTTGTCAGTGCTCATTGGACACCATATTCAAGCTTACGGCTCAGGATGACTTCTTATTGATATACCAAAAAAGACATTCTTCGTGTGGGCAATGTGCGTGTTGCAATTGTTGTGGAAGCTTGCCGTCGGCATTTGCTCAGCATCAACGAGCTCAGCTATGGCCACCAGTTGTCAAGGATCTTTCTCAGTTAAGAATTAAATAGTCCGAGCAGTAAATGTCGTACCGTTTAATCGGCCGTTCTTATAGTTCAAGGTATACAACAAAAAAACCTCCTGCCTCCTCTGCTGCTGCATTGTTTGGAGCCTTGTATGAAACTTGTCTGTAGTATTGCACCACAATGTCATGAGGCATCGATGTGATGAGGATATCGCAAAGCATGGCCGCGAAACTTCCGGTCGGCACGTTTAGTGAGTTGAGAGCTCGAATGTTCAGCTGCATAGTGTCGTACAAGTTCCTCAGACCCATGGTGTCTGTAGAAGATCGAACACGGGGAAGATTTCGAAGGGCCGCCAGGTGTACTTGCTCTATCCTCTTTTGATCACCAAAACGTTGCTTTAGTAGTTGAATGGCATCAGCATAGCACGCTTCCGTTGTGGGTAGCCCTGCTATTGCAGCTGCTGCGTCTCCAGTCAAGTAGCGGCGCAAATAATGAAATTTATCCATCGTTGACAACGTGCGATTTGAGTGAATTGTTCCTTCATACTGTTCCCAAAACGTCTGCCACTGGGTGACGTCCCCTCTGAAAGTAGTGATGTCCAGTTTTGGTAGTCTGGATCCACTCATCCTGAAGACTGTGTCATGCGCATTGGGCGTAGTCGTTGCTGTCGCCTGAACCATGGGGCGTCTACTGTTCTCCAATTCCGCAATCTTGAAGCCAAGCTGCGCAATAAACATGACGGCATGGCCTTGACATTCGGCAGCAGCAGCGTACTCGTCCTCCAACTCTGCTGATAGCAGCGGCTCTAACTCCTCGTTAATTCTATCAAGCTCCGCGTTGCTCGTAGTCAGGCGTTCTTTGAATCCGATGAGCCTGCTCAGGTCTATATCAGGGCTGTTCAGCAGTGTGGTAGCGTCGTTTATCATCCTGGTATTTTGGGCTCGTCAAGTGGTACGCTTCGCCTTCAGTCTGTCCATTGCGATTCGTTAGAGTCGATTGGCTTTCGCTTGGTTGGCAGGAATCCCTCTTGAAAGATCTTCGCGTTACAATCCCGATGATTTGCCTCCGTCGTTAAAGTCTCAGAGTTCCACTGTTAGGGTTAGCAACGAAAGTCACCAGTACCTGGTACATTTGCAGCTTCGTCTCGGCTCGGTGGTGATGTTGTGAAGCAGTTTCCCGGGTTTCGGCTCCAAAATGTCGAGGATCCTTCTCAGTTAAGAATTAAATAGTCCGAGCAGTAAATGTTGTACCGTTTAATCGGCCGTTGTTATAGTTCAAGGTATACAACAAAAAAACCTCCTGCCTCCTCGTCGTCTTCCAAGTATCGCTGTCATTTTCACTTCATCCTTCTCGATTTTCCACACCAGTAAACATTAACTGTTAAATGAGTGAGATAGGCCAATCTTATACATATTCGTGGCAGACTCTCAGCTTTGTCTTTACATTGATTTAACTTGGCATCTCAATACAATGAACCCAAAGAAAAGTAGTTCGAAGTGTTGTGTTTGTGACTTTCGTATCTACCCAGATGTAGTTTTCGATACAAAAGAAATTTGTGTTGCTGCTTGTCATGTTTCGGCTTCACTTCGCAAAACTTCTAGCCTGTGTATTTTGTAATGATGGTGTGGTGGAAACACAATCACCTTTGTATCGTTAGCATTGCATAACTCTTGGAAAATGTACCCTCTAGCATTTCAACAGTGTAGCAGACTAAGTCTGCTATCCATAAGTGCAGTGGCCTTTCACTGGAATGCCGACCTTGAATTTTAACTCGAGTAACATGGCTCTAAGTTTTAGTGTTCTTGGATGTGCATGGATTCTTCTTGCTCTGGATGGAACATGCCGGAATGTTTCCTCCATTGGGCTTAGTATTTAGTACTGCATACCCAAGATATGATTATAAATACAATGTTAGCTTTGCTAGTAGAACCGCTATTTGTGTAAACCTGAAGGCTCTAGACTTGACTGCATCAAATGGCACATCATGAATTCAAGTGTAACCGTAGAAACAGCAGTAACATGACAGCTCGCTAATTGGTGTCGATGCCCCCTTCTATGCCAGCAAAGGTTTGGGCTTGTACTGACGACTGCCAGCGCAGCTTCAGCCAGTGGTGCGAGTTGGTGGTTGTTGCGCCCTGTGCCTGTGGAAGACAAGGCTCTTTTTATATTTTGTTGATGCATTGGATCTCGGCTGATTGCGGCAAGCGCATTCGTTGTTTTAACTTGATTGTATTAAATGGTTGAAATACACAACTCTTGACTGCTTCTATAATTTATTTTGGGGAATGAGAAGTGAATAAAATTTCCCTCAGCACAGAATTTTGCTTGATTGTGGTAAAATCCAGAACTCTTCATTACTTATATAATTTAGCCGGGAAAATAAGAAGCAAACAAAATTCCTTCAGCACAAAGAATGTTTCATTTTTATGTGCAGTAACACGTATAACTCGCTGGTCGTGGAGTGTGCCTTCGTAGAAACTGTCAACTCTGCAGCTGCAAAATGCATGTTTTGGGCATGTAGTGCCCACTTCTTTCGTCGTTAAATAAAAACGTTTCAAAGGAAGCATTATGCAAAGCGTCAATGGATGCCGCGAGTTTAGCACGGATGCGATCTCCTGACATTCTTTCTTAGCAACTTATGTAATCTTGTAAAATATCTCTCGAATTACGCGTTTTCGTTTCTCCATTTCCTTCACCCATTGAAACTTTTCATCTACGTACCAAATTACTTTCTTCTTTACCTTGGAAGGGATTCGTGATGGACCGGCGACGTACAGAGCTATTCCTTTTTCTTAAAAAAATGGGGCACCTTAGCTCGAGCAAACATTTTGTAGACACCTTTATTCGGCGTATGCGCTGGATGGTGGTGACAGACGACACGTTCAGAACCGCGGCTCGCTGTCGCTTTTCACATGTAAGCGAGGTTTGCACGCAGTTAAGGCTGAACCGCATGTAAGCGATGCGTCGCTCGATTTTTGAATTTCTAGAGAGGCCACGTCGCTCATCACCTTCGTCGCTTGCCCCCGCCGCTTTGATGCGGTTTGCCTTGTCGCGAGAGTGACCGAGCAACAGCAAAAGGGGTTGCCGTCGTTTGTCTCGTCACTCGCCAAATGGCTTACATCGCTTAAACGACGGTCGTCGTTCGTCGCTGCCCAAAACGATCGCGGCGTAGCTGAAGCAGACGACCCCGTGTCGCCATCCACGTCTGTATTCTTCGCTTTCCCCTGTTTTCCCCAGATTCCCTCTCGAGGTACTGCTCACTCCGTTGTAGGTACCGAACTCAAGTTCTGACTTGACTGAGACGGTTCCGATTTCGTTTCGAGCAAGCGGCTCAACCGGCGTCTTACGCTGGGTCTCAGCTGAGACCCAAGATGAGACCACACGAGAAAACAAAATGTCGGACGTGGCTACCACCAGCCACTACGCACCGGCTACAAGTCATTTTTACCGGGTGAATGCTTTCGTTAAAGCGAGTTTAGACTACTTCTACGCCATCGACGTCTTCGACAGGAAAGTGAGGAAAGCCTGCCACGACTGTTTCGTTTTCGGTTTGGTGGTTTCGCAATCGCTTGTTTTCCTGTGAGCTTGACTGGTCACCCACGTCCTGGTGCAAGTGCTCAGGTAAGAAATAATATCAATAACACCACTGTTTAGTTGTGCTGTTTCGTAAAGGCAAATGTGAATAAGTTTGGCATAATTATAACTTATTTTTGCGGTTCAGTTCCTGACACAAATGCAGCGCCATCCATTCAAGAAGGAACGGAAAGCAAGACGTAGTACGTAGTCTTATTGTTCAGACGATTTTCAACCCGAGGAACACGGAGTTTGCCGAGGTACAGTTCCGAGGCAATCCTTTCTTTGTAAAATGATGTGTTTTGTGTTTAAAAACAGTCGGAAAAGCAAACAGTTTCTCAAAATGTCAGCGTCAACTCCCGACGGACGTCATGTTCCAAAACATTTTGGAAGATAGCGAGTAGCTTGATACGTTATAGCAGTGTTTATGAACCTTCGCTAGGAATTGTTATGGCGTGGCTATATATATTTGAATCGAAACTGCGCTAGAATTTTTATTGTCTGTCATGAACGAATCCCAGACATATTTCTCCACTTCAGGTGGTCACCAGCAGCGAAGCTCCTCGGAACCAACGCCGGACAAGTAGGTAGTCCTCTTGGTGGTCGGCATATGCTCTCAGATCGTGAGGTGGTCGCCAAGTGGCAAGGAAGCACCCATGACCTCCACATGCTATCGCAGAGCTGTATCAGAGACAACTTCGGAGGAGGAACTTCAAACGGGCTCGTCATCGTGGATGGCGATCGGCTACGATGGCCGTGATTGATCGTGCCCTACCGCTGGGTAGACACGCCAGCGGAGTGCGCATACAACCAGGTGCACAGAAAACTGGAAAAAAAAAGTAAGGGTTAGAGGTAAGGGTTGTTTTTGAATTAGTTAGGTACAAGTACTAATCATGCTGTCTACGAATATCTCGGGGCCAACTTTTTTTAAACGGTCTGATCATACTGTGCCTGAAATAATGAGGCCGTAACTAACAAACTTTTTTCAGTACACTTCAAGTATAGTCACTGCTAGATCCTGGCCGGTAGATGATGACAAGATACAATTAACTATTTATTAACTCAAGATACAAAGGCTACATGACAACGTGACAGGTTTGTTGGCTGGTGTAGGCCGTTGACTGCATGCTTTGCAATGTTCGCGCGGTGTAGCATGGTCTTCTAGGTTTGGCATCTGTTTCCAGATGGTACCACCACAATACACAACACTCCTTCCCCCTAAGTGAACTCTTTCTCGAAGAGCTCGAGCCCCGTCTGATCTCTTCTGCCTGGCCACATCCACATCTTGCACTGGGCCCATCACCAACGTTTGCACTGCGCTGCCTGTATCCGGGTGCCCGGGTGGTTCAGGACGAGCAGCTTGCCGTTCTCCATGGCTGATGCTGTCTGTTGCAACTCTCAATGCACCGCTCCTACACACCGTGTCGACAGAACGTCGCATGATAATGCCCTCCTGGGTGCGGGTTTTGTAGGAAACTGGACCCGTCATTTCAACCACTGTCGCCAGTATCCATGAAGGGCCACTGCTGTAGCTGCATATGAATACTGGGTCTTCTGTTCGAAACATTCGTGACTTCGGTTGGGCTCCTTCGCTGGAATTTTCATCAGCTCCCTTCCTCATGCTCTCAGTCAGGTCTGGGTGCAGTCGGTCAAGTATCGTCTTCGACCTCCTGTTCATCAGCATATCCACTGGGCTCTTGCCTGTCATCATGCATGGTGTTACATGCTCCTGTAGCAGAAAACTGGTCAGATGCTGCCCTCATGTTCCCTTTTACAATATGCTGTAGCGAATCTTTCGTTGTGTGCACCATGCGCTCTGCTTGTCCGTTAGTTGACGGGTGGAAGGGTGCTGACGTGATGTGTCTGATGAGACCGGCTTTCAAGAATGTGCGGAATTCTTCGGAGGTGAACTGAGCCCCGTCATCCGAGACCACGGTGCTGGAGTTGCATTTCATGCGTCTACTGAGGCACGAGGAGGTGCAGGTCGTGACTCTTGGCATGCCATGCACTTGATCACATGCTCTTCTTATGCTTCTGTCCATCTTGGGCCACCACACATAGCTGCGAGCCAGAGCCTTCATTTGGTCGATGCCAGGATGTCCGACATGGAGGGCCTCCAGCAACACCTTCCTGCCTTCTGGGGGAATTACGACCCTGTTCCCCCAAAGTATACATCCTTTGTGAACCGGCATCTCATGTTGTCGAATCTTGAATGGCTGGAAATTTGCCTCAAGGCCGCCTGGCAGCTAACCCTTCAGAGCCCAGTTGAGAACCCTTCAAACGGTGTTCTTTGCTGTCATTTGTGCGCCGTCCTTGGCGTGGAGCGGTGGATTGGATGTGTTCTCCAGAAACAAAACTTCTAGAGGAGGTGGCACCACAAACTCTGGAATGGTAAGTGAGAGGCAACTAAATGCATCGGCATGTTGTATGTCCTTCCGAGGTCAATGATCCAAACTGTAGTTATAAGCATTCTGTAGGATCGTCCAACGCAACATTCGTGGAGACAAGATGTATGGCATTTGCTTTGCAGGTGTGAACAGTCCCAAAGGTGGTTTGTGGTGTTATGATCTCGAAGGCAATACGTGTAGTCGTGGAACTTCTTTACGCTTGCCAGCACTGCATAGGCTTCTTTGTTGATTTGAACATAGTTTGGCTTAGTAGATGTCAATGTGCGGGAGTAAAATGCGACGGGGACCTCTTTGTCATATTCCGGTCGACGGCCAAGTACAGCTTTAATGTATGTCTTATGGCGAGGCATCACAAGTGTGCACAAAGGGCTTTGTTTCATCATAATGGTGCAGCACACTTGCTGAGGACAGCAGCTGCTTGCGTTCGTTGAAAACTTGTTCATGAAGAGGCGTCCACTCCCACCGTGCCTCTTTGTCAAGTAGCTGACGTAGTGGCTCGGCCACTGCTGCCTTTTTCGTAGAAAGATGCAATAGAAGTTTAGCAGTCTTAGGGAAGCCTGTAGCTCCTGTTTGCTTGTTGGTACTGGTGCCTCATGAATCGCCTTCACCTTTTCTTTTGTTGGGTGCACACCCGTCTCGTCAATAAGAAATCCCAGGAACTCGAGCTGCGACACTTCAAAATGGCACTTTTCACTTCTTACCCTGAGTCCAGCATCAGCAAGACGGTGCAGGACTTCCTCGAGGTGGCCTGCCAACTCTTCTTTGGTGCTTGCAGCAATTAGAACGTTATCGAATTATGACACAACCCCGGTGATCCCCTTTAGGAGGTCGTCCATGAAGCTCTGAAAGATCCCAAGAGCAACATTTACTCCAAACCGTAGCCACTTCACTCGAAATGCTCCTCGATGGGTTGTGATCGTTTGTGCCTCCGCCGCTTCTTCATCAATCACCAGCTGCTGGTAAGCTTCTGCCAAATCCAGTTTTTCAAACAGCCTCCCCCCCCCGAGAGTGATGTCAGGAGGTGCTGTACCATGGGTGTCAGGTACGGGTGTTGAGCCAGTGCCTTGTTGAAAGTGCACTTGTAGGCGCCGCATATTCTAATGTTTCCAGTTGCCTTCATGGGCGTCACAATCGGGGTCTCCCACTTTGGTTGCATGACCGGCTCGAAAATGCCTTGTTCAATAAAGCAATCAAGTTCAGCGTCAATTTTAAGCGTGAGCGCAAAGCGCATTTGCTAGGGTTTTATGCGGATTGGCATCATTGTAAAGTCAAGGTGCTGCGATACTGGGGGTCCCTCAAACTTCTCAATCTTTTACCCAAAAACGCCATCGTACTTTGCAAGCACACCTTCAATAGACAGCCCTGTGACCTTATTTACCCCTAGCAGCCTGATTCCCAATGGTTTAAACCAGTCCATGCCAAGGAGGGTTGTCCACTGTCCCTGTGTTACTGGCAGTTTCTGGTCTCCTTCGAAACTGCTGTGCTTGACATGGACCTTATACACCCCCTTTATCTGCACCGTATTGCAATGGAAATCTGACTAGCGATTGAAATGGCTCACCCGGTGCAGCATCTTCTTTATGACCTCATTTGTTTGTTCTGGGATGATCGATAACTCTGACCCCTAGTCAACTTCCATCATTGCCGACGTCCGGTGCTTACGTGTCTGCGATGCCTGTGGCGGGGCCAGTTGGTTAGTATCGTACATATCATCAGATTGTGTGTTCAAGTTCAGAACGTTCGCCATGGTTTTGGATCCTCTTGTTCCCATGGCCTGCTCTGCGCTCATTGTTTCATGCGACACACACAGTCGATGCGGCCGATTTTTCTGTATAAGTGACTCTGGGCATCCTTAAATTGACAATACTCCCGTGCGTGAGCTCCTCTGCACCCATTGCAAGGCTTTGTTTTCCCGTGGTATACTGTTTCCTTGTCGGTTGCCTAAGCGTGTTTTCTCCTTCCTCTTAGTCCTGATGTATGGCAACGTTGGTTGCCACAGTTGGTTCTCCTCCCCTCACATCGTGGTGCTTTGAGCCGCCGCTTCAGCTGCCAGCACTTCTTCCTGAGCGATCTTGAACGAGAGTTTTTTTTTTGCGAAAAGTCGAGCTTCAAGAGTTTCATCCCTCAGGTCACACACGAGTAGATCTCACAGTGTTTCCGTGAGATTTGGAAAGTTGCAGTTTTGTGACAACTGCCGTAGTTCCACAATGAATAAGGCCACAGACTTCTCGGGACCCTGATTCCGCCGGTAAAGGCATTCTGGCGTACAATCTCCGACGGTTGGCTGAAGGTCTTCGTTTTGGGAGTTGCCAACGCGAGTATACTATAGTGACTGTACTAAGTCAAAAATGGCAGCACCGCAAACGCTAAAAAAAAAAACAGCACGTTTTCTGGTTGGGTTGGTGATATCGTTGGCCTCGAGGTGGAAGTTCAATCTTGCCTCGTAGGCGTCCCACTTCTCCGGAAACGCAGGGTTGAATTCTCCTATCTGTCCCAGGGTCGCCATTTCTTGTCGAGGGTACAAGGGGGGTACCCGAACAAAGGGCGATGTTCACAAACCTTCTGCCTCACCTGTACGTTCCGATGTGGGGCCGTAGAGTGCGGCAGTCTCTATGCAATCTTATCCTCATCACCACATGATAGATCCTGGCCAGTAGATGATGACCGGATAACATGAACTATTTATTGACTCAAGATACAAAGGCTACGTAATGAAGACATGATAGGTTCACTGGCTGGCGTTGGCCGTTGACTGCGTGCGTTGCATTTTTTCCGCGGTGTGGCGTAATCTTCTAGAATTGCGGTCCGTGTCCCCGATGGTGCCACCACTCTACACACAACAGTCACCATGAACAGTCTGTTGAAACTGTGGCTATTGCCAGAAACTTTCGAATAGGACACTGAAGTAAAAGTTTTTGTCAGAAAAAATGGGTGATTACAAGCACAGAGACATCAGGACCATTCAGCAGATGGGGAGGGCGACAGTGGTGGGGGGGAAGGGCAAGTTTGCACTCCTCCCCCATATCTTTTCCATTAAATTTCTGACCTGTCGGGGGGGCAGTCTCTCCCCCGCCCCCCTATTTCGTTTCGACGCCACTGTACAAGCAGAATGTGATTACAACCATCATGTCTGTAGTCGACTATATACTGGTGGTTGAGGCGACGGCCATTTGCAGCGAGAGCTATGGTAAAATGCGCCTGATTCAGCTGTAGCACTTGCTATGTATCGCGGCGATAGTTTCATTGAGTCGCCCCGCAACAGAGTAACTGTCAAAGAAAAGAAAGTCCGAGTGGCAGAGGAGGGCTGCGGCTGCACAGTTGGCAGGACTCTTCGTGGCGGTGCATTGACAACACTTTTTAACATTTATGTTCACACACTCTTTGCATCAGCCTTGCCTGTTCATGATAACGATGCCCTTTGCCTTTATCTTCATGATGTAGTTTCTATGTTTTGAGCGCACCTTCGGGGCCTCCTCGCCGAGTACGGGAAGCATGCCTCGCCGCGAGCTCGGCCAGGCAATGATCAGTCGGCAGTGGCCCCCAAATGCATGCTCGCTGAAACGCTGCCACCGAAACATCGGCCTTTGCGGTCCATGACATATGGATCCTTGCATTGTTTATCAATACTTCACTAACTCATAACTTTACTATAAGTGGCGTCTAGAGCCGCTGGTCAAATAATTGCAGGATTCCAGTTATGCCTTGAACCGCATATTTAAATTTGTTCTTCCGACACAATAGCCTTTCGCATCAAAACTTTGTCGGTGGCATATTGGAACTTTCTGCTCGTAGCACACTTTACCAACGCCGAAATATCCCGTACAGGCTGGTTGAATGTCGTCATCGTACGTTTGGCACAGTTTTTCAAGTTCGCATGCCAAAAACCAGGTAGTTTTGTAGAAAATATGGTGCACATCAGTGCATGTCCGGGCAATTTGTGGCATCCTATGCCTTGGTAAGTGCTTCCATGTGGTGGGAAGTCAATCACCAGCATGGTGCGGGGCCCCGGTTTGTTTGCCGTCTGATAAGCAAGTTAGTTGCTTTGTTTTATATGAACCACAGGCAGCCCAAGGAGTTGTGGCTACTTTTCGATACAGTGCAGTCAAACGCACTGAAACGAAACTGTGTGTATGGGCCTTTACGCCGCTGCGCTTCCATTTTGGACCTGCAGTTTGTACTTTCTTTCGTTGTCGTTCCCACTCGGCTTTGACGTCAGTGGATCATAGATGAAGGTTGCTCAAACATAAAAAGGGAGATGAATAGTTAGGTGTTTTGGCTGAATATGCCTTAAGCAACTTCGACAAAGGCAGCAAGAAGGGAGATGATTGTAAGGATTGCAAAGGAAAAAAAAAGCTTTGATGCTGACTGCATGCCACGTCGGCGGTGACATCGCTCAGGCCTGTACAAATGCAATGGTGCGCAAGGCAAACATTTTTTTTTGCGGGTGCGGTCTTTACGCGTGTTTATTACACTAATGACTTTCACTTTTACTTAGCTGAGTGTGTAAAAGTCGTTGCATTTTTTTATGATGCATCATTTCTTTAGTTTTTCATGTTGCTAAATGAAATACATAATGCAGTGGAATTTTTTTGCATACTTGGAACCAAAAAGACATTGAAGAGAACTAACCAAAAAAAAACTGTTTATTGTATTTACAAAGTAAAGCTAAAACGGCAGTGCCTCTTTGCCAAACTAAAGGCCCCTCCTCCCCTTTAAGGGTCTTGTTGTAGGGCCTTCCCAAGTAACATGAAAATTTTTTCTCCCTGTTCAATATACAAGTTTGCAGCCTTTTTCATCATTTCGGCAGCCTCGCAGGCTGCCCTTGCTGCCCTTGCCTGCTCTTCCGTCGCTTTCAGTTTGGCAAGGAGGCACTGCCGTTCTAACTTTACGTTCTCGTGTTGTTGCTCCATGATGTCCTTATAGAACTGTTTGTCTGCAGCCCGTGTGCTGGCTGCCGAGCCTGCGGGTGGTGCGCTGGGCCTCCAGAGCGGTCGTGAACGAGGTGGTCCCTGCCGGCCCAGTGGTGCCGGTCGCCCTTCAGCAGCAGCTGCTGCCTCAGGCGGTCCCCCTGCCACAGGAGGAGGCCCCTCCCGACGTAGCAGCGCAGCTGCTGCACCAGGCTCCACGGGTGCCTCATCCTCGTCCATCGGCCAGTCCGGAGGCTCGTAGTCCTGCGTTTCTTCGGACTCCGGCACCTCGAGGAATGCGACCCCGGGGTCCACTTTAACTTCGTAGTTCAGGACTCTGTCCTCTCCAACCTCCTCGTCAGTAATTGGCTGCACGCTGACTGGTGCTGTGCTGGCCCTAAGGAAAATACACCAGAATGTCAGTCTTGTCACCCTTGTACATAATTTGAAACACTCTTATTTGTATTTCATTCATGCTTTTTGTGTGCATGTGGATCAAGCTCGACTCCTCAGCTCTCGGCCATTGCTGCTATTAGTTGTGAAAGTATGTGGGCTTTAGTAAAGCCAGCCTACAGTGTGCAGGTCAAGCCCGATCTTGACTGTTGCGGCTATTAGTTGTGAAAACAGCTGGCTTCATGGAGATCCAGCTGGCAGTGTTGATGCCGGCCAGATATTTCTGGTTGCTTGTCCCTACAATTCTGTTTTATGTCAAAGACTACCATGTTGAGCAACAGATCTGCTCAGGGTGATTCCAAATTTATTGGTAGTGTCTACTGGTCGGTGCTTAATAAATTGTACTCACTGTACACCATATTTGAACTGACTGCTCAGGATTACTTCTGATTTCTTTTATTTATCAATACTGTTCACCCTTTCAAGGTGGTTTTATTTCAGAAAAGACATTCCTCATGGTATGCAATGTGCATGTTGGAAGTGTTGCAAGAGCTTGACGTCAGCATATGCTCAGCAGCAGCGAACTCAGCTGTGACAGTGAATGCTACCTACGAAATGAGCGAGATTTCAGAGCACTAATCTCGCACAAATATGTTTATGCAACAGACTGTCTCAGCTTTGTGCCTTCATTCATTTGACTTGCCATCTCAATACAACGGACCTGAAGCAAATGAGGTCCAAGCTTTGTGTCTGTGACCTTTGGGTCTTTGTAGCAGTAGAATTTTCAACATAAAACAATATATTTTTTTGCTGTTTGTCATAGTTCAGCTTCACTTCATAAAAGTCTAGCCTGTATACGGTAGTCTTGCGATAATTCGAACTCGGATATTATACTTCTGGTTAATTCAAACAAATTTCCTAAGTGTGGTTGTCTCGCTATGTTCTTAGTGTATCCATATGCCACTTAAACCAAATTCCGTTTTCCTGTAATTCATATTTTTTGTTCTTGCAGCCCTTTTGTTGAGTGTGCTTCTTTCCGAGCACCGGTACACTGCAGAGGGAACACCCATGGAGCTGTTGCTTCTTTGCAATGCACCGGTGCTCGGTGATAAGCGCACTCAACGGGGCTCATGCGGAAATTTCTACAGCAACTTGCGCAGACGCTGTGATCTGGTAGCATGGCGTACACCGAGCGCCGGCACATTGCGGAGAAGCAACAGATCCATGGGTGTTCCCTCTGCAGTGCACCGATGCTCGGAAAGATGTGTACTAAACAAAAGGGCTGCAAGAACAAAAAATATGAATTACAGGACAACGGCATTGAATTTAAGTGGCATAGCATGGGCAAGTCACAACGTCCTCACAAGTTGCTATGAAAACTGTGGTGCAGTGCCCGCTTTTATTGTTCACGTGTCCCCCGTTTAATAGTTCACACTAGACAACTTCTTGACCCGATGAACAAACTGAATTTCGTTTTGAGTTGTCATGTGCTCTTTGAACAGCCCACAACAATGAACATTTTTGAGGGATAAATAAACTTTTGTCTTACATTTCACGAATGTTTCATGTGTAGCATACCTGGTTATGATCAGTAGGCCTATGTAAAGGAAAGCATGAAATATCTTCTGTGTATGTGAAGCCACTCATAAGGCAAATCATATATTTATCTTGCATCATTATTTAGATAAATTTCTGATAAATCAAACAAAATTCATGGCTTCCTGGAGTTTGAAATCATGAGAGTATAATGTATTTTGTAATGGTAGTGTAGTAGAAACAATCCCCTTTGTCTTGTTCGGATTACATGATACCTTTTTAAGATATACCTTCTACCATTTCAGCAGTGTACCAGCCTAAGTCTGCTATCATTTTTCTTTCCCAAACTTTCAAGACTCGGCCAACGGCGCTTGCGATGTTCAGAAGACTGCGTCGTCCTCCCCATGTACATGTCGGCTCATAATCACCATCATTTTAATCTTGCATCTCCCAAGATTAGGTCGTGATCTTACATCATCACATAATCACCATCAGAAGATGTGGCATTGCGGGCGTACTTTGCACGGGCTGCTGCCTTTCTGCAGTGCCGTGGCTCTCCTAATCCAATAATTACTATTATTATTATTGTTGTTTATATTATTTTTATGATCATCATTGATGAGCGCAGTGGTCTTTCATTGACATGCCTAGCTCGACTTTAACTTCAGGTAACATGGCTCGAAGTTTTAGAGTTCTTGGATGTGCACGGTTCTTTCTTGCTCTGGAGAGAACACACCAGAACATTTCTTTGAGTGGCCCAGTATTTAGTACTTGCGAACTTCAGATATGATTATGAATACAATATTAGCTTTGCTAGTAGAACCCCCAATTGTGTGAATCTCGAAAGGCTAGACTTCGTACAAATAGCAGTAACATGACAGCTCACTCGTCGGTGTCTACGCCTCCTTCGATACCCAGAAGGTTGGGGCTTGTGGAACCGATGACCGCCAGCACAGCCTCAGCCAGCGGTGTCAGCGTGTGGTCGTTGCGCCCTGCGCCTGTGGAAGACAAGGTTCTCTCTATATTTTGTTTGAGCATTAAATTTTATCTGATTGCAGCAAGCACATTCATTGTTTTGATTTGATTGTATTAATAGCTTGATATCTTAATTTCTTCTATAATTTAGCCAAGAAAATGAGAAAGTGGATAAAAAACTTCTTTAGCCAACAGAATGTGTGCTTCATTTTTATGTGTAGTAAAAACATATGTATAGTAAACTCACCGGTCGTGGAGTGTGCTTTCTTCGAGAGGGTCAGTTCCGCGCGGCTGCGAGATTTGAGGTTCTGCCACTGCTTTTTGAGTTGCGGCACAGTGCGCAGCGTCGACGGACGCCGCGAATTCATCACGGATGCGATCTCTTGCCACGCTTTTCTTTTAGCAGCTTTTGTAATATTGTTGTTAAATTTGTTCTTAATTATACGTTTTCGTTTCTCGATTTCGTAAACCAATTGAAACTTATCATCTTCGGACCAATTTGATTTCTTTACCTTGGGAGGCATCCGTGATGGACCGGCAACATCCATGTCTGCGTGCAGCAAACTCAGACGGTCGTCTGCTAACTTAATGATCGAAACATAATTATCAACTTTTATTGCAAATGCTTCCGAGAAAATACGTCCAGCGCATTTTTTTTTCTTAAAAAATTGGGCGTTAAGGACACGCAGGCATTTATGTAAACAACTTTATTCGGCGTACGCACTGGACGTCGACGACGGTGGTGACAGACGATCGCGATACGAAGCAATATGACAGCGTTGGTGCGCACTAAACTCTACCCAAAACCGCGCATCGCTGACTCCTTTTTTTTTCTTTCTTCTATTTTGCACGGAACCACGGTATGTACGAGACATGTGCCGCAGTTTTGCGACTGTCGTCGTTTCTCTTTGCCCAAACCGATCCTAGCGTAGCAGAAGCAGACGATCTCTCGCTTGCCGCCTCGCGTCGCCGGCGCTTTCTTATTGGACAGGAGGTCACAACTCGTCACTTCCACGTCCGGAATCTTCGGCCGTGTTCCAAAATTTACTCGGTCTCACTCTAGGGTAAAGGTTTTGTACCTTTGCGATCGAAAACCTACCCGAATCCGGCATTACTCGATTTTTGTTGTCACGTGACATGATCTGCCAGGGTAACTCGGATCCACTCGAGTAGATTTGGAACGCACCCTCTGTTTTCTCCGGTATTTCTTCAGTTTTCCCTAGATTCCCTCTCTAGGTACAGCTCACTCCGTTCTTGGCGGTCTGGGTGCCAGACTCAAGTCCGGACTTGAGTCAAGACCGCGCCGGAGACCGTGCTGGATCCGTCTTGGTCTCAGTCACGGTCTCAGCCGAGACCGCCAGGCGCCTGAGTCAAGACTTGAGCCAAGACTTGAGTCAAGACTTTCTAGCAAGCGGCCCCAGGGATTCCAGAGATCAGACTGTCGGCGACACGCTGAAACAGTCCCGGCGCTGCCGAAACACCAAAAGGCAGTTGTCGGACTCCGTACAGTCCTTTCAAAGTGTTGATCGTGAGGAGCTCTGCAGACTCATCGTCAAGCGTCAGCTGGTGGTAGGCCTGCGTGAGGTCGAGTTTCGTGAAGATAGAGCTGGTGCCTCTTGCTGCAAACACTTCGGTGGTGGCCGGTAGAGGGTAAACATTGCTTTTCACTGCCTTGTTCACCGTACTTCGATAATCCCCACACAGTTTCAGGGACCCGTCTTTTTTTCTTACCACTACCAGTGGCGTCGCCCAGCTGGCATGCTGGGTAGGCTCTAAGATACCTTGCTTCTGGAGGTTGTCCAGCCCGTCGTTGACGTCTTCACGAGGGGCAAATGGCACCGGGCGACACTTGAGGAACTTCGGCTCGGCGGTGTCTTTTAGTTCAATGTGAAGGGGTGCTCCTGTGAATCCTGGCAAGTCACTGCCGAAAATCTCCTGAAAAGCTTCCGTTAGATCCTCCTCGGAGCTGCTCAGCTTTTGGATGCCTTGCACTCTAATCCCCAGCGCTGGAAACCAGTTCCTGCCCAACAAACTCTTGCCTTGCCTCCCGACCACTAGCAATGGTAATGTTGCAACGTGATCTCTGAACACGACGCCCACCATCGCTTTACCGAGGGTCGGCAGCGTTTTACTGGACTATGTGACCAGCTTGGTGCTCGATTCCGCGAGAGGGATTTTTTTTCTTGAGCTTGCTTCAATTTTCCTGAACGTGTTTTTTTGCTGACTATCGAACAGGATGCACCAGAATCCACTACCATGGTGCCTTGCTCATTTGCAATGGAAACCTCGACCGTGTATTTCTTTGGTGCCTCGGTTAGCTCGAAGATGAAGAGTAACTCATCCACTTCGCGCACCTGTTTTGCGTTTCCACGCTTGCTTCCCATCGCTGGCAAACGACACGCTGCCGCGATGTGCCCTATAGCTTCTAACACTCATAACATGTCGAAGTCTTGAACTTGCATGAAGTTGAAAATGCTTACCATTACAACGGTAGCAACTCTCTTTCTTTCTGTGAGGCGAGCTCTTCTGTGCGGTAGCATGCACGCCGGCGTCGCCGTCCGCGACCGTCTTTCGATCCTCGTTGATGTCCTTCAACTGCCTGGCTGCGGCTTCCGCCGTGAGCGCCAAGTCATACTCCGCGTCGAACGTCAGCTTGTGTTCGGCAATCAGCCTCTTTTGTATCGCCTCGCTGCGAATTCCCCACACAAAACGATCACGGAGCATGACATCGAGCGGCAACTGTTTGTCCCCGAACTCAGTCACCCCCTAGCTTGCGGAGAGCTGTCACGTAGTCAGCGATGCTTTCCCCCGCCGCTTGATTCCGTTTGTAAAACTTGAATCTTGCGTAGAGCTCGGAAGGCCGCGGGTGTATGCATGTGCGACTTCACTGCTGCCGGGATGTCTGCATAGTTCGCTGTCATCGGGCGACTAGGCTTTACCAGCGTAACTATACTTCGTTTCAGCTTCGGTCCAGACGCAGCCAAAGCTACAAGCACGAGCTCCGGGCTTTCAGCATCCCTGCCAAGCACGCGCGCTCGTGCAGTGCCAGCACTGTTCTGGGCCACATGCTCGCGCTTGTAGCATCGGCTGCGTCTGGACCGAAGCTGAAACGAAGTATATGAGCGAGTACGTTTCGGCGCCGCAGCAACTGGGCAAAACCGCGCGGTTTTCTTCTTCGCTAGCTAGCTTGTGACACACGCAGTACATTTCCAACCTTTCGACATACTCTTCCCATGCGCTCCCTGTTCCGAGCTGGTATTCTCTGATGCCGTTGGTTGTCATACTGCCTCTGTGATCGCTTCTGCCGCCGTGGGTTTTTCTTTGTTCTCTGACGTCGCCGTTTAGGCTTAGTTTCTCGTCACCAATTGTAATAACTTAAGCCGAACACATCGCTGTCTTGGTTACGACTGGTAGGTTTTACTTTGCTGATCCGATAGCAAACATATAACAAGGTTGACAACCGAAAACACAAAGTCCGCCAAACATAGCGAAAATAGTGAAACTTGTCACTACATTAGACTAACTTAAGTCGGTTACAATAAAATATTCAGCGTCTTCTTTTTTTTTCCCTGGAGAGTGCAAAGAGTGCCGTCACTGCATACGGTGGAGGGAACTGGACGTATGAAATTGCCTAAAAACGTTATTCCAGCCTTGCTATTTGCCGAGAGCATCCCTCAGATTGCTAAGACAGTTGCCGTCTGCGCCCTGTGCGCGAAATTAGACGCACACGTAATATAATTCTAGTCACAGCCAGCCAAATAATCTGATGGCATGGCCAATGATGTTAATGCTATTGCTTCATGATTTGTTCGACGGGATTTTCATCGGATGAAACCGCAACCGAATTGGCTTAGGAGCGATCATTAGAAAGTTTTAGGGAACAGTTTTTGCGCATCCGATACTGTGCGATGGGCCCTCCGATACGAGCTCGACATATGCTACCGGAGAAGGCTTGCACATGCGCAGTTCGTACCGAAAGGCCAGTCGTACCGTTTCGGATGTGCAAACACTGTTCGATAAAACGCTCCATTCGATGCTCGTGACTCGCTCCGCTGTTGGTAACCATCCCCCGCACAATATCCGAATTTTGAATCCTGCCCCGCACAAGTGATTCTATTTTAAACATAGCCCAACTCCTGAAATTGCACCCGCAAAACACGGGACGTTTTTGGCAACAGCGAAAGCTCTGACGTGAGTTCATGTAAAAATGGCCACGACAGCTCTCGACTGCTGTCTTGGTAAAACAACCTCCTTGCGAGAAAGACAAGATCTACAGTATGGAGAGAAGCTGAGTCCGTCGACAATATTTGTAGGCATCATCAAGCATGTTGATCAATGCCGGGAAGAAGTCAACGCCCGCGACTCTGACGCTACCATGCTTGTTGTGACGTCATGAGATGACCAGCCGCGTATACTTGCGAAATGTGGCGTGCAGTTGCGTTTCGAAGTTCATAATGGGATTCAGTAAATACTGAGGTGCCTTTTAATGAAGTAAATATCAGATATTATTATATTTCAACTTAGTCTACGTGACCAGTGCAAATCTTTTGTAGCTTCCGGATTTCAAGGGCAATCCCCTTGAAGCGGTGGTTGTGTCATATTCGAAGCATAAAGGTCGGTGTACACCGCGAGATGGCATTGCTTGCCATGATCTAAAAACCGAGTTTGGGCAAAGGTTTTGTTATAAATTACGCTGACAGTGCTCTTTTAATCTCCCGCCATGACTCCCACATGCGACTAGCCGGATGAAAAAAACTCGAAAGAAAATGAAAATGAAAACGTAGCGAGCACAAACTTATTCCACGTGATATACTTATCGTAGAGTTCAAGCACCCCCGAAATTTGGTAGTTGCTGTTATTTTAACAACCGTTGGTGGTTACATAACGTACGACATGTGCGTAGCTTACACGTATGAGTACTGCGCTGCTGTGCGCGTGAGACAGGTGTGCCCGCATGTCGTTTAGGACTGCCACGAATGTTGTCGAATGTTCTAGTTAGTGGTGAGTTTTACACAGGCGTAATAGGGGCTTCGAACCAGAGTGGAGTACGTTATGCGGAGCGCTCTCGTAAATGTCGGGTAAATGTGTTTTCTGTTAAAAAAAAAGAAAAAAAAACAGCTTTCCTTAACTAGCGCAGTTTCATTTTTTATATCTTTTGTTCCCATGAACTTAAAAACCAGGAATGGCCATTACTGTCTTGGCGGTGGCTTCACTTTGCCATAGTAAAATTATAAAGAGAGCTATTGTAAATTAAAGTCACCGAGTCTTAATTTGTAGTACTACATCATACTTTTTATAAGGTTTTGTTATTTAAAAAGAGTGTGTATTAATCTGTCCTTTTTACAGCGGTAAAAAGAAGCCGCCCAAAAATGGCCGCTAGGATTGTGAACGGAGTGATACACTCAACTTTCGCGGACTTCGACGTTGGAAATATCTACGCTTCCCAACTTATAGAAGAGCGATTGATGAAATTATCGTCGAAGATAATTATTGTGAGTATGATTTTATTTATATTCACTGTGTTGTAATTAGAAAACGTATAATATTGCATGTATCGAATCTCCTGCTCTGTTGTTATCGTGATGCCAGGCTACTGAATTTTGTCTGGCTTTTATTACGTTTTGATTATAGTGCGGTGAGCCGATTTTCAAGATGTACCTACGCCATTGCATTGCGACAAATACCACCAAGCTAAGACGAACCGTTTCAAGCTTCTGCCTATGTGACTTTAAGGACAGCACATACCTGTTTCGCCAGTACCTCATGCCGCGCCGGTCGAAAAGCATAACACGTCGTCTGTTGATTTTTTACTGAATTCCCTGTGAAATTGAGCAGCATTAATTGAGTGGTACTGATAAAGTAACCAAAAGTACCCTGATACCTTATAAATATGAAAATTCGAGTTTCAATATAAAAAGAAAACAAATAAAGCAGGATTAGGAGACCTGGAGAAATCAAAATCATTGAATACTACGGGGATTTTGAGAAGAAAAATATATCAGAGTTTAGCTCATTACAAAAATACAGCGCGCACCTCCCAAAGCTCAATTTATTCTCAAATGTAGCGGAAGCGTAGCTCCGCCACTCTGAATATATGAGCGCATTTTCTGGCTTTTCATCAGCAGCATGTTCCGTAGTTGCTCTGGAGATCTGGGCCTGCGTCGATTGCTGATATCCAAAACTTCTCACAAATCTGTTTACATTAGAGCGAATTAGCATAATAAATAATAATATATAGGTCCAAAGTTACCAAGAGGAACAATAGTTACTTTACGCCACCATATACTTGTAGCACTCAGTTTGTATAAATGTGTTAATACACGTGCAGATTTTTTGTTGTAAAATTAATTCTGAAAAGGGAGGAGCCAAATGTATTAAAAAGAGCTTTCCTTCAGCACCACGAAACCGATCAAAAGCCCTTTATTTTTCAAACACTTTACCTACTTTTTCTTCTAGGTTGACACCCATCAAAGCTTGACCGCCTATCAGCTGTTAGAAAAGATACGCAAATACGCTGTAGGTTACCATGAGCACGGTGTAAAACCGGGCTCCAGGGTGTGTGCGTATATTGGCAACGCAGTTGAAGCAGTAGCGGCAGCCTTTGGGGTTGTATTCGCGGGCGGTACGCTTGTCATGGCAAAGACGACCTACGTTGCAAGTGAGTGCTCGAAACGCCTTCATTTGGTTTGAACAACATAATTATAGCATTTGAATAAAATAAAGAGAGCTTATTATGATGTGATGTTGTTCTCATAGGGGCACTAGTGTACACAATTGAAGACAGCCAGTGCACTTTCCTACTAACTGACCAAGAAAGCGCATCAAATGCTGCAAAGGTGGTGATGCCATCAAGCATTAAGGTGGGAGATTATTATCTATTTATCTATCTGTGCGTTGGAAACGCTATTTTAGATTTGATTGCGTTTGCATGGGTGTTCTGTTACATGCGCTGACCTCTGATGGGTTCGCACTAACCGAAGTTCGCAACGTCGCCACGGGATGGTGACTGCAGCTGCATTGGCTGCGGAAACTGGCTAGGAAACACTTTCTCCAATCGCCGACAGATGGCGATGGGATGCGGATGCATTTGCCAGTCGTCTGGTGACATTCTGCTTCCGGTTTTGGGCTTCCGATCGCCATTACCTTCACAAGCTGTTACTACGCCGCAGCTAACGGCTGCCGCGAATGTGGAGAAGTCGGCCGGAGTGCCTTTCAGTGTTCCGTCTGCAACGGAAAATGAGCCTCGGAGGATGATCTTGCTTCACCGAATAGGTCGGAGAGATTTCAACCCGGAGCCGCAAAGTTATGTGATGTAGGTGCTCTGTATAAAGATCTCCAGAATGCAAAAGACACCTGTTTAGACCGAGTTATGCACTCCATTCCACTGCAAGCGCGAGCGATGTAATAGCGATAACAACACTGTCGACTTGGCATGCACGGACGCCCTTGCCGCGCAACCGTCGTTCAAAACGTCCTGCTCCTGCTCGGGCTTGGAGCATCAGCGTTACTCCAACTTGCGGGTGCTTTCGGAGCGCGGAATACGCTCGCTCGTGAAGTGTGGCGTACGGGCTCGCGTACCATGCTTTGTTTCGAACAAAGTTCATAAGCTTGCAACGCACTCGCGACTGCGAGCGCGAGCATGTGGATGTATCTATACCGCGATTCAATATAAATGCGAGCGAAGCCAGTGCGAAAAGCACGAGTATGCTTTATCTCCACACTTTGAAAATAAGTGGTATCTCATTTGAAACCGTGGTGAAGATAATTGCAATTTGACGGTTTATTATGACGAATACGAACGACTTGCGATTCCTGTGAAGCCGAAGGGGCGGACAAATGCCCACAACACACTGACCGAAACGTGAAGCGGCCGCAGCCCCCCTCCCCCCTCCGGCAACGTCTGACACGAGAGCGGCGGCCGAGCGGGCGATCTCGTGAAGCGGCCGCCAATGGCTCTCTAGGAGCCTTTTCGCTTAGCCAATCAGAGAATGGGCCTTTCTTCAGCGTTCTTTTACAGTTACAGACGTCACCGGTTCCGCTCCTTGGGATAGTTAATGCTTTCGCATAAAATGATTTCCGAGTGTCCAGTTTAGTGGCGTCACCCGCCGTTCTCGTGGCCCGGGGCGACATCCCCCTGACCGCTTCTCCCGGGGCGGTCCCCCCCCCCCCCCCCCCCCCCTCCCTCTTTGTGACATTACTGGTTCAGTGTCCCTTTAAAGAGACGGTATTTCGTGCACTTTAGATGTAACAGAATATTGTATTTCTTGAAAATATCAGCGCTGATATTTGCGTGTTCTTGCTGGCCCCAGTCGCCCAGACAAATTTCATGAGAAATAATGAACTGCGGGCCTTTTAATGTGTTTTGGAGAATTTCGATCATTCATGGCTTTAACACTATTTCCATGCACAAGAATAAGAGAATAAACGGATATTTTAAAGAATATTGCCACGGGTGATGAGTTTATAATATGTTTACAAAACGTATAAATTAAGAAACGCTGTTTTCACTACGAAATTTGAGAACACACTTAGGACTGATTACGTGTAAGAATGCGAAAGGCTTGAAGTACGCAGCACATTCCTACAAGCAGTGCATCAAGTCTACCTTTTTCACACTGTACTGACAGTCCGACAGTGACATCCCGCTCCCCCACTGCGTAGGCGCAGCACCCCCCACCCCCTCCCAGCTCCACGGCTTTCGTGACAACGCATCTGCGTTTGCTGTACTTTTCTTTGTGTTTTATATTTTTTTGAGGCGCGTCCGCTTTGACCTTGAACGGCCCCTGCGGCTTCTGTGACGAAGTACCTGATATGACGCGTCGTAGGCTCGCAGCCAATGGGATTTTATTCTTTTTTTCGCGGCTACAGACTACAGGCTTCGCTTCATGGGACAGGATAATTTGGGCGCCGTTTCTCGAGGCTTCAAAACCTGATAACGTCGTTCGCTAAATGGGACCAGTTAATGCTTTCCCATTAAAAGCAAGGACGGAATCCGAGTCGGAGATCAGAAGTGTGCGTCTTTCGTAAGGAAGCGTGTGACGTATTAGAGCGCAGCTCTTAAGGCCGGTTCAGACACTTGCGTTTGAGTGCGTTTGACTGCGTTGCGGCGAGAACCGAAAAAGCGAGTCACCGGCACATCTGTGCTTCGCATGAAGCGTGGAATCCAATTCAAGGAATCTTCTTGGCACGCGATATAAGCAGCAGGGATGTCCTGGTGTCTCGCTGCCGCAACGCAGTCAAACGCAACTGTGTGAACCGGGCTTTAGGCGCCCGTTCTGGCTTGAGCGGTGTCGCCGTCGCCGTTGGCGGAACCGTGAGGTCATGTCACCCCCGTGAGGTCACGTGACCCCCGTGAGGTCACGTGACCCCCATTAGGTCACGCGACCCCCGTTAGGTCGCGTGACTCCCGTTACGTCACGTGACCCCCATGAGGTCACGAGGGTCACGTGACGTCTCGAGGGTCACGTGACCTCATGGTAATTCCGACGGCGACGGTGACGCCGACGCTGCTCGGAGAGAAGAGTAGCATGCAGGATGAGGAGGTGAGGAGGAGGGAGGAGGGGTATACGCTCGATACGCTCCCCTCAGTACCCTTCCCTCCCCCTCCTCAAGATCTGCGCTCTAATTCGGTGTTACAGGGAGTTGTAAGCGGCTTTCATTTTTATTGCAGTGCTCTATATTACATCCAGTGTTTGGCTGTTTGGCTACCTTGATAGCAATGTCAAAGTTTTTCATATGACAAAAAATATGAGACCTTTCTACATTTCCGCATTTGCATAATACTCTTAATACAATTAAGACATTTTAATACGTAGTTTTTCGATAATGTGTGGCTTAGGATCTAATTTCAAACGCGCGAACGAGTACTGGAACCAAAAGCATACACATGATCATCACTGTTGTCAATTGCAGCATTCTAGAGCGCGGCTCTTAAGGGCCGCCCACACTAGCGAGAAAACGCGCGCGGCGCGCGGATCGCGTTGAAAACGCGTTACGCAAAATCGGTTGAGCGGGAAGATAAAGGGCGTGTCTCGGCACGCTCTCGTGGAGCTGATATGCTACGACGACTTTTTGTTACTTCGCGCGATCGGCGTGCCACGCGTGTTTTCTCGCTATACTCGGCGACAACTTTTCTTGGCAATGCAGTGGAAGGTACGTCCCGCGTCCCCTCTCCCATTTTGAGTGTACGCAGCCTCTCCTCCTCCCCCATTTCCGGGGAGAGGAGGAGAGCCTGCGTACATTCAAAATGGGAGAGGGGACGCGGGACGTACTTTCCACTGCATTGCCAAGAAAGTTGTCGCGGAGTATAGTGTGGGCGGCCCTTTAGGCGGCCGTTTCCGGCTTAAGCGTGTTCGGCGTCGCCGTCGCCGTCGGCGTAACCGCGAGGTCACGTGACCCTCCCAAGGTCACGTGACCCACCAAGGTCAGGTAACCCCCCGGAGCATATTCAAGAATGAGGGGAGGAGGAGGAGGAGGAGGGGTCTACCCTCCCCTCAGTAGCCTTCCCCCCTCCTCCTCAAGAGCTGCGCTCCAATTCGGCGTTACAGGGAGTTGTAAACAGCTTTCATTTTTTTTAATTAACAAGTTATAAAATAAAAATAGTCTAAAATAAATTAAAACATTCTAGCAAATCGGAGATACCCATGTAAAATGACAATAACTTTGGGTAAAGCACGTGATGCTATGAAAGTCGCTACTTTTGGCAATTGGCAAAACTTTCAAAGCCCCCGCTAATCCTTCAGAACGAACATACACTGCCACTCCTTCTCTAAACCCCTAAAAAAAAAGATTTTTTTTTGTCATTCATTACCCGGTGGAATGCATGAAATCGACATCAAAATTTCGTTTTTTACCTTTTATTTCGCTGGCTGTAGCTAAAAAAATTGAGATTCTGTTATTCCTCGGTGGATTAAAAAGCTAACGAATGAAGTTTTCTCCGCGCTTAACCGCAAATTTTTATTCAGGCGAAAAAGAAGTCGGCCTGGGGCAAGCGGCGCCTAGCCTCAACAGTGCTCTGCGCCGAAATCGAGCTGCCTCAAAATGGCGGTCGTTTCCTCTTTGCACCCTGCTTCCTCTACCGTTCCTTCGGCGCTTTCCCACTTTTCTTTCACTTTTCTCTTTTTCAGCGCCTTCGTTGCTACGTCTACTGGCCGCACTCTCCCAATATAGAGCCTGGTCAGGAGGCGTGGCGACGAAGGCGCTGGAGCCTGCCCCTATAAAAATGATCTTTGACTTTTTATTGAAAACATGTTGACTTCTTGTTGACTCTGATTACTTTCTTTTGACTTTGACATTGTGTTGACATGGTAAACAGAAAGTTTGTTGACTTTGTGTTTAAACTTTTCTGACGATTTTCTTCAGCCTGAGTCAAAAGAAAAGCTGTTAACTTTCTGTTAACTTGATGTTGACTTCTTTCTGCTTACTTTTTGTTGACGTGGTCAACAGAAAGTTTGTTGAATTTATGTTGAAACTTTTCTGATGACTTTCTTCAGCCTGAGTCAAAAGAAAAGCTGTTGACCTTCTATTATCTTTATGTTGATTTTTTTTCCGCTGACTCTCTGTTGACAGTTTCATCAGAATGACTGTAGACGTTCTGTTTACTTTGTGTTGAAACTTTTCAGTTGACTCTCGGTAGCTAATGTCAATACAAAAGCTACAGACTTTCTGTTGACTTCTTATTGAACATAGGACACCCCGACTACATGCCAAAAGTCGCTAAGTTTCTGAGTAGTCTCTGACAAGGTGAGAACGGGAAGCAACTTCAGTTGTCCCGCCTCCAGCGCGAGCATACTACCCTTGACAACGCTTCGGCGTTCGTGCACCTCGAGCGCGCGCGTGCAGTCAAAGCACGACGGAAGGC